GACGGCGATGGGCTGACGCATCGGTGTAGAGAAGTGCGATATATATGGCCGACGGAACTGGTGGGTGGTGCAACGGCTATGATGGAGTTATGATAGGAGACCCACCGATCCCAGCAACAAATTCCTTGGCTTCATCGTCCCTTTCAGTCAATCAATTCGCGTAGATGGGATAAACTGCAAAAATATATATAGTTCAGGGGGGTTTCTTGCCCATACCTCAATAGTTCAAGGGTTTTTTTTTTCAACTTTTATAGTTCAGGGGGGTTTCTTGCACATACCCTAATAGTTCAGGGGGGTTTAATGCACTTTACCCTTATATTAATTTTTCCATATTAACCCTCCAATTGTATTTAATTGCAACCTTTCTTTTTCCTATGGTAAAATTTTTTGGGATGTGAAGAATAGAGAGAAGAAGAAAACACGGGTAATTATTGTTTGACGATAACAACCTTTTTCAGAGAGAGAGAGAGAGAGAAAAAAAAGAAGGTAGAACGAAAAATGGCGAGACTAGGACAAGAGTATTATTCAAGATACTTAAATGAAATATTGTATATGTACTGTGATTTAAAATATAATTTAGAAATAATTGTATTACTTATTATTTATTTTTATTACTTTATTAATTGCAGCAAAATCTTTCATTATTTGATTTCTAGTTAGTAACTTCTATTTTTTTTTTCTTCTTCGTTTCTAACCGAAAACGGAAGAAGTTGATTGAAAAAAAAAAATCCAAAGGAGGTTCATGGCCAAGGGTAAATATGTCCAAGTAACGACCATTTTGGAATGTACCAGTTGTGTCCGAAACGACGTTATTGTTAACAATCAACGGACATTTCCAAATATATTACTCAAAAGAAACGACAGCAAGATGAAGCTGAGGGGATAAGGAAAGAGACACCTATGATAGCACATGTTTTAGCCCTTTAGGGATTTTATAGATAGAAACCTGTGGGATTTCAGAAAGTTGGTCTGCTAACACATTTCTCTCTCTCTCACACACACATATATTTTCTGGGGATGCTGTCGACGCCTCCACACCTCAACACCAATTTCAATCAGGGAATATAATGGGAATGGACTGGTTCGAATCTGGGACATATGGTACTTCAGGCCGTTGCCTTACCAACTCTACCAAGCTCTGGGGGCATATATTGATTAATGGTAGGAGATATTTAATAAATTAACTTTTAATTTTAGAAATCCTCTAATTTTAGAAATTCTAACCAATTAAAAATGTGACTATGCAAGGACAATTACTTGCGCCCAATTAGCACTCTTCAAGAAGAATTGTGCAAGGCTATTATGATAAACTTGTAATTATTTTACATATACTCGGGACTTTGTCATTTTGTTTTCAAAAGCACTTCATACAAGTAAAATGACTTTTACAGATAGGATAACTTTTTAAAAGTCACGTTCACTAAACACCCCAAATTCAGTATAACGAATGCATTATTTTAAGCCCTTTATAGTAAGTACTTAGTAATTTTGGAAGCTCCTCGAAACGCTACCTTTGAGTATTAGATAAGCTCGGTTTCGTTTTTTCTGGTGCTGAGAAATCTAGGGCACGAAAAAATAATAATAATAATAATAACAATAATAATAGTACTAATAACATATGGCTTCAGGACTCAGGTTAGGAAGAGCTTCCTCAGGAAGCTAGTACTTGATAGCTAGCTTTGCCACGAAGCTCCACCAAGGGTCTGATTTCGGAACTCTTTGGTTTGAACAATTCAAACACTTTCAAAAATGGGTTTTGGACTTTAAAAGTCGAAATGAGCTTTCGAAAGCCCATACCAAAAAGAGCCTTGCAAAACACATTCAATTGGTAACAATTAATTTGTGAAAATTCAACCCTAATTTGTTGCACTAGGTTGGATTTGGTTTACGTTGTTTCAGCAGTCAGCACTCACCAAAATTATGAAAAGACATTAAATTGGTAGACTTTTCAAATGCAGACTTTTCATTGACACTGATTCATTTGTCCATAATGCAAATGCAGACTTTTGAAGGACATCCATTATTTGTTCATAAATCAAGGAGGACACCCCATTTATTTGTCCACGATCAGATGCACGTCGGTGAGGGGAAGAAAAACAAAAGCAATCGAATTTTACTGTCATTATAATTGGTGTGAAAATATTTTTTGTTTTACGATTTTTTTTTTTTTTTATAATTATTATTTTTACACGTGAAAAAAATTTATTACTCATCAATGTGCATGGACGGATCCACATTGAAGGGTGTGGGGACAATTGCCCTCGCTGAGTTTTTTTTTTTAATAGTATTTTATCTTTATAATATACTTATGAAATATTACATTTACCCCTACTAAAATTACTAAAAAAATGTATTATTGTCCCCCAAAATTTATTTTTGCCCTCACTTATCTTACTTCCTGGCTCCGTCGTCCCTGCTAGAAATCATATATATATATATATATATATATATATATTGAACATGATCAATCAAAGGTGAGTTATGAATAGTTATACTTACAGTTTTACACAAAATTTTAAATTGGTGAATTTGATTTTTGACATATCCAATAAAAATGCAAAAAATAATTATAAAGTTATAGTTATAATAAAAAAACCGATAGATAAGGAGAAGAAAAAAAAAAAAAAAAAATTCTCTTATTCATATATATAATAAATTTTTTTATTTTATTTTATCACTCCATGCATGAGCCTTAAGATTAATTTTTTGATTAATTTCATCGACACCCTCTCAAGTTTGGCTAAATATCACATTTAAATATTTTTCGAAAATAACTCACTTAGATCTAATTTTACTTTTCCGTCACTAACTAACAGTTAAAAACGTGCCAAAAAATAATTTTGCCCCTAACTTTTAAATTTCACTTATTTCAAAATATCAGTTAACTAAAATGACCCTTTTACCCCCGCCAAATGCACTCGAGTTGACTACAATTACAAATTTACAACACATAAAATTATGAATCAAAGTGACTGATGATGCAGACAACAGAATCCCATCAAAACGCTCTTGTTGAAATCTTGAAGAGAAGTTATTTATTGGTTGAATTCTTGAATTTCATCGTTCCAGGTACATACAAACACCCTTAAAAAAAAATCCTCAAATGTTGAAATCTCTAGCTATTTCCTCATGCCCCCATTTATTACTCTCTTTGATTTTGTAGATGATGGCGCCACATCATACTCTATGTGACACTATTTATTACTGAAAATACATCTAGTTAGTACTAATTGGACCATGTCAGGACCTGTCTGGCATTTCTCTAAAAAATCGATAGTCTCAAGCTACTAGGCCTGAAATCGCGAAGTTGAACTCGCAAGAGGATGGGTCTCGCCATCTTACCTCTCATGTGGAGGTACCCCGCTCCAGTCGAATGGGTCTCACCATCTTCTCTGAAGCTTTCTTCTGCAGAGGAAGCTTCAAACTTAACTGTTTCATCTCGAGCTCCTCCTGCATATGAGCTTGAGGCTTAAAGGGAGTATGGAAGCTCGGGACCAAAGAAGGCAAGTCCTAAGCAATTCCCTTATATCCTCTTACTTTGCGGGAATTTGAGTATCAGTGGTTAGATGGCTGAGTTCTAAGGATCCATCTCATCTCGAGTTCTACACAAGGGGGATGGAATTTTTAATACCCAATAGCTTAGTTCGAGTAGCAAAGATCACATAATACATTAAATATATCTTTTATAGAATTACCACGGAATAAAGAATGAGCTACCATTATAACCAAGAGTCCTTCCCTAATAAAGCGACTATTGGATAAAGAGGAAGTTAGTTCTCATGACCAAATGAAAGTATTATAAATAGGAATGAACCTCATCATTTAATGAGGTTGGAAAACATATACATCACCACAACTATGACTACGAAGAATAGTCTTCTAAGACTCGAGTTATCATAGGGTGTTAAACAAATATGCCCTCTCTCTCTCAATCTCCTTAACGGAGAATCCCTTGTGCTAACTTAGAGCTCCACTCAGTCTTTAATCTTAGCATTCCCGACGGACGTGAAACAATCTGCTCACATCTTCACGAACTATCATCAACAGGTTTTCATTGGAAGAAAATAACAGAGAAAGCCAAACATCAACTTGTGAGGAGTGAAAGAGGGTTTTAGCGGCGTAGAGGAGACTATGGTTGTGGTCACACCCAAACCCATCACCGCCACCGCCACCTGCACAAGAAACCCACCCATTAGATTGAATCAATCCATGCAATATATGGGTTTGCAGATAAAAAAACACCTTCATTCAATGAATTACTCATCCACTGGAATTATGAGATAGAACTTTGTTTCCACACAAAATGATGATTCCAAAACCTACAACCACCAAATTTCATGCCCAAGAAACCATAAACTCCAAAATTAAAATTCCCAAATCAAAATTGTAACTACACAGATTGATATATAAATCAAAATAATGGATCTTGAATTTGGGTCTCACCAAACTTGCTTAATTCTCAATATATATATATATATGAACCTGTTTGAAAAAACAGAAAGTATGCCGCGGATATTTTGATCTTTTAAATAATTTTATAAAGTTAAAAAGGGGATTTGACAAGATCAAATGGTAACAATGTCTTTTATCATGAAAAAAAAAAAAAAAAAAAAATTAGCATGACACAATTGTAAAATAACTTTTAAATTGTGATTGAAAAACGAATCAAATCTTTGTAATGTGAGTGAAGGTAATTTTTGAGAAGTGTTTCAATGTAGTATTTGTTTAAAATTGATGAAATGTTAATGAAATTAACCCTTTAAATTTTTTTTATATTTTAAAAACAGACAATTGTGCTGTATAAAATGAATAAAATCCATGACATGGAGTAATGGAAATCACACACATCACACTATTTCCAGTGACCATATCTTATCTGTCCTTTATTAAAAATTACCAGTGAAATTTCCAGTGACCATATCTTAATTGCAAAAGTGGCCCACATTGGACAGTGCCGTGTGATGACCGATCTAGCTGGGCCCATTGGGCCCACGCTATTTAAAAACCTATCCAACAGTCCAGCATCTCAGTGGACTACACACCATTACCAACCAAAAAGTCTTGTCTCTCTCTCTCTAAAACTAAAACAGTAGTCGTGAATACAAAGAACATTTCCTCTCTCTAAAACAGAATTTCACACACACTCTCTCTCCCCATCTGTACCTAAATTCCTACGCCAATATTTTCTTCTGGTACTGAGCCATGGCGGTGTGCGCGACCGACACGGCTCGAGAACTGGCGTGCAGAGACAGCCGAGCGGCGACGAACCTCAAGCTCATATCCATCTTCATCATCTTCTTCACAAGCGTCGTGGGAATAACGTTGCCGGTGATGCTGGCCCGCCTTTTTCACGGCAAGCCAGTGTACGACAAGGCTATCCTGATAATCAAGTGCTTCGCGGCCGGTGTAATTCTCTCCACCTCATTGGTCCACGTCCTTCCCGACGCATTCGACGCTCTCGCCAACTGCCAGGTGGCGTCACACCATCCGTGGAAGGACTTCCCGTTCTCCGGCCTCGTCGCGCTGATCGGAGTACTCGCGGCTCTGTTAGTGGACCTAACGGCGACTTCACACGTGGACAGTCACGGTCACGGTGAGAAGACGAGCGGTACTCATTACACGCCGATCACAGAAGAATTAACAGAGAATTGTAATAAATCGAAATCGAAATTGAAATCGGAGGAGGAGCGAGTGGAATCGGGCGAGTTGACGACGAGTTTGGAGGGAGACGAGTTGGTGAAGATGAAGCAGAGATTGGTGTCACAGGTGTTGGAGATAGGGATTATATTTCATTCGGTGATAATAGGGGTGACGATGGGGATGTCTCAGAATAAGTGCACCATAAGGCCGCTTGTTGCTGCACTCTCCTTCCACCAGATCTTTGAAGGGATGGGCCTCGGAGGTTGCATTGCTCAGGTCATAAATCAATATCATTATACTATAAATTACTAATACATTTATTTATTAATTTATTACAATTAAATTAATTTTTATATATATATATATTTATATTTATATTTTGATCACGTGTTATCGGGGGGTGCTGATTGGGACACTCACGTTGGCTGATTCAACTTGAGGATGCGCTATCCTTGTTACTTATTTCAAGAAGAAATGTCACGCGCCTCTAATTAAGACGGTTGGCGTCCAATATTGACCGAATCTGATATAGATTGCGTGAAAAATAATTATATTCTTCTACAGTAATACATAAACCGGTAGTATTGGTTGAAGTTGTTTGGGTCGATTGGGCCAGGTCCATGACTCACAAAAGCCCACCAACACTGCGGTGGATTGCACTTTGTGTCTGTGAGTGTTCAGCCCAACCACCTTTATTCATCCTTCATTAATAATGACCAACTTAAATGATATTGTCGCCTAATGCATGAATTTTTACTTTTTAACTTTTATTTTCTCTTTATGATATGCCAACTTTACCCTTGGGAACTAGCCCCTACAGAGAAGAAATTGGGTGGGGACCTCTTCTTGATTTTGATTTTTTTTTTTTTTTGTTTGGCCGAGCCTTGGAAGATCAGAATTTAAATGGTGTATTCTAATTGCATAGGTATAGCAATGACCGTGTACATCCGTCATATTCAATATCTTCTCCATCTTTCCTTAAAAGAAGTTGTCATCAAAATCTATTTATATATGACAGGCGGGTTTCAGCTTGGGAACAACAGCCTACATGTGCTTCATGTTTTCGGTGACCACACCAATGGGGATAGTGTTAGGGATGATCATTTTCTCGCTGACAGGCTACGACGACAGCAGCCCAAATGCCCTAATTCTGGAAGGGCTTTTGGGGTCCCTATCTTCAGGTATACTCATCTACATGGCACTCGTCGATCTCATAGCTCTCGACTTCTTCCACAACAAGTTGATGAGCTCTCAATCATGGTTGAAGAAGGCATCGTTCATTGCCCTTGCTCTTGGCTCTACTTCAATGTCTATCCTTGCTCTTTGGGCATGAATTTTGTACAAATTTGCAACACAAAAACTATGTCATTGGAAGCATAGCTTTGAACCCCATTTGAACTTTCCATTTATGTACGTTCAGAAACTATGTCATCATGTTGAATTTTATACATTAGGGACATTAATAACATAATAGTGACGTCAGTCTTTACTCACACAAATTATTTAAAGTTGTCAAAGATAAAAAAATCATCACCTACAGACAAATTTGCCATTTTCTGCACATTATTTGGGAATCGAGAGTATTTTCCAACTCCCAAAAAACACAAACCAAAGTGCACACGCATTACGCACATACTAATAATAAAGTTGGAAAAGGACTTGGCTAGCTGGACTAAGTGGACAATCTGTTGGACAGTCTTTCTTCAAGTGTCTTTATTAGTTATTGGTGTCAAAAAACTTTTTTCATTTTCTGGCGTGATATCACCTTTTTTTTCTTTTTTCTTTTTGGGCACTGAGCATGAAGTCGTGAACATTGTTGAAGTCTACACATAATCCACTAGCCAAACACTCGATATATTATTGCGTTCGTGTGTTTACATAACCGGAGCCTTAACTGATTGATAATATCTCTGGATTTACATGAATTTGCTGGGTTTTTATTTATTTATTTATTATTTTTTCTTCAAGAAAATTACATGAATTTGAGTTTGTTTACTAGTGAATGCATAAATATAATGTGATCTTGAAAACTTATTCAATCTTACGTGTCTTCTTTCTGTTGTATGATTAGATTCAAACACTAAATTGAAGGATGCTAAACAGTGCGCAATTATATACTGATATGTACCACTTCAATTAAGCTTAGTAAGTGTATTGGTGCCGTAGAAAATTTACTCAATATATTATTGGATTGTAGCCCGTGACATTATTCTTACTTATAATAAAATAACCAAACATTTGAATCGGAAATATATATATATATATATATATATATATATATATATATATATATATATATAAAATCCATTTCTTGTTTCATCTTTTGACATGGGAGAAGTAAGTTAGTGGGTTTCTCCCATTTCTTGTTACCAAGCATCTTCCTTTATTATTAATTAATGGTTGGTGTAGTTAAGGCTCTTCTCAATCAAAAATTGCTGAGCAGATCGCAAAGGATTGGAACCTACCAAGCTCATTCTATGAGGCATCCCATTCGAATATTTTCGTCAATTTCACCACCTGACCTGACCTCCAAACCTTTTACCAGGACCCTTCCATGGCTTCTCTGGCTTGTTCATCAGTTTCACGCCTATGTTTATGGAGGATTAGTTGTTAATCCGTGGGCCTCATACTGGAACAACATGTTTGGACAACCTAATGTAATGGATTGGTTTTTTTTTTTTTTTTTTTTCATTTTTTATTTTATTATTATTATTTTTACTACTATAAGTAAGTGTAAATTAAAGAGAAAATAAACTTTACATATTTACAAGGGCATCCCCCAGGCCAAAACGAGGGCCATTGGACCAGGAAACCCAGAGTACAGCTGGTCAAAAAACAAAGCCATACAAGCCCACCCAAATGAAATAGGCCCACCCTACATATTTATGGGTTCGTTTTTGGTCCGTGAAAATGGGCTAGTGTTTGTGGCCAGTGGCCATCATAGTAGTGGCCCTAGTGGGGTATGCCCCCATTATTTTTTAAGATTAATTTGACCAAATATCACATTGAAAACTCATTTCAAAAATTATTATCACTCACGTCTTTTTTTTACTCACATTGTAAAAGTTACTTTCCAGTGTACCATTTTTTTTTTTTGCACATCGTTACTGACTTTGTATTAACTTATTAAGTACTTGTTTAATGTATAAAATGACTTAACTACCTCCACATAACCCATGTTAAGTGACTAAAATACCCATTACCACCATGTACAGACTCATCAACTATCATCTCACCATGGCCACCACCACCAGTACTCACACAAGCACATATACACACATTCACACACCCACATATATCAACCACAGTTCCACAATACAATTTAAAACAATTAAACACAAATTCGATTTATTACAATTAAAAATAAATTATAATGACTTAGAATTAAAACAAGTTTAATAAGAGTTTCAAATTAATATATACATGGACAAATCCAAATTAGAGTAGGAAACTAATTATATGGGTGTGTGACTGTATTTAGTATGAACCCGTAATAGATTTATAGAAAATGGGTAGTCTAAAACTAATTATGTGTTTGTACATATTTAAAACTAATTATGTATATGTGTATACATATATATAGTATAAACCCATTCTGGGACCATCAATAAGAAGATCAAATGTCTTCCTTCTCTTATAGTAATCTTTAAAATAATTCCATTCAAATATTAAAGAACACCTCAATATTCTAAGTAACCCGGATTGCTAAAACTCTTGTTTTGTGTTCTATTATTACCTCAATTTCTGCGTGTTTATATATACATATCTATATCTATACTATTATTAAATGTGCAAAGTGTTTCAGTATTTTAGTATTTCAGTAGTTATTTATTAATTGATATAAATTCTATAAAACTCAAAATTACCTAATAAAATTCAAATTAATTCAAATTAACAAAATATAAAAAGAGTTTAATTCAAATTACAAAGTCCCACATTGGTTTTAAGTAAAAAAGATTGCATGAAAGCCTCTTATAAAAACTATAGAGCTAAAAAAATTATAATCATACCTTCTTGGTCTTTTGGCTATCCTTTCTTGGTCTTTTGGCTAAGACCTTTCTTGGTGTTTTGGCTAAGATCAAGTGTAGTACTCCTTCCCTGGTCTTTTGGCTAAGACCTTTTTTGGTCTTTTGGCTAAGATCAAGTGTAGTACTACTTTCTAGACCTTTGTTTGTGTCGGCCTTTTGACTAACCCTTCTTGGTCTTTTGGCTAAGACCTTTCTTGGTCTTTTGGCTAAGATCAAGTATAATACTACTTTCTAGGCCTTTGTTTGTGTCGGCCTTTTGGCTAACCTTTCTTGGTCTTTTGACTAAGACCTTTCTTGGTCTTTTGGCTAAGATTAAGTGTAGTACTACTTTCTAGGCCTTTGTCTTGGTCTTTTGGCTAAGACCTTTCTTGGTCTTTTGGTTAAGATCAAGTGTAGTACTACTTTCTAGGCCTTTGTCTTGGTCTTTTGGCTAAGACCTTTCTTGGTCTTTTGGTTAAGATCAAGTGTAGTACTACTTTCTAGGCCTTTGTCTTGGTCTTTTGGCTAAGACCTTTCTTGGTCTTTTGGTTAAGATCAAGTGTAGTACTACTTTCTAGGCCTTTGTTTATGTCAGCCGTTTGGCTAACCCTTCTTGGGCTTTTGGCTAAGACCTTTCTTGGTCTTTTGGCTAAGATCAAGTGTAGTACTACTTTCTAGGCCTTTGTTTGTGTTGGCCTTTTGGCTAACCTTTCTTGGTCTTTTGGCTAAGACATTTTTTGGTCTTTTGGCTAAGACCTTTCTTGGTCTTTTGGCTAAGACATTTTTTGGTCTTTTGGCTAAGACCTTTCTTGGTCTTTTGGCTAAGATCAAGTATAGTACTACTTTCTAAGCCTTTAGCTAATCTGTCTTGGTCTTTTGGCTAAGACCTTTCTTGGTCTTTTGGCTAAGATCAAGTGTATTACTACTTTCTAGGCCTTTGTTTATGTCGGCCTTTTGGCTAACCTTTCTTGGTTTTTTAGCTAAGACCTTTCTTGGTCTTTTGGCTAAGATCAAGTGTAGTACTACTTTCTAGGCCTTTGTTTGGGTTGGCCTTTTGGCTAACCTTTCTTAGTCTTTTGGCTAAGACCTTTCTTGGTCTTTTGGCTAAGATCAAGTGTAGTACTATTTTCTAGGCCTTTGTTTGGGTCGGCCTTTTGGCTAACCTTTCTTAGTCTTTTGGCTAAGACCTTTCTTGGTCTTTTGGCTAAGATCAAGTGTAGTACTACTTTCTAGGCCTTTGTTTAGGTCGGCCTTTTAGATAACCTTTCTTGGTCTTTTGGCTAAGACTTTTCTTGGTCTTTTGGCTAAGATCAAGTGTAGTACTACTTTTTAGGCCTTTGTTTGGGTCGGCCTTTTGGCTAACCTTTCTTGGTCTTTTGGCTAAGATCAAGTGTAGTACTACTTTCTAAGCCTTTGTTTGGATCGGCCTTTTGGCTAACCTTTCTTGGTCTTTTAGCTAAGACCTCTCTTGGTCTTTTGGCTAAGATCAAGTGTAATACTACTTTGTATTTCAGTATTTATTTATTAATTGATATAAATTCTATAAAACTCAAAATTACCTAATAAAATTCAAATTAACAAAATATAAAAAGAGTTTAATTTAAATTACAAAGTCCCACATTGGTTTTAAGTAAAAAAGATTACATGAAAGCCTTTTATAAAACTATAGAGCTAAAAAAATTATAATCACACCTTCTTGGCCTTTTGGCTAACCTTTCTTGGTCTTTTGGCTAAGACATTTCTTCATCTTTTGGCTAAGATCAAGTGTAGTATTACTTTCTAGGCCTTTGTTTGGGTCGGCCTTTTGGCTAACTTTTCTTGGTCTTTTAGCTAAGATCAAGTGTAATACTACTTTTTCGGTTTTTGTGTAAAGAGTTTCAGTATTTATTTATTAATTGATATAAATTCTATAAAACTCAAAATTACCTAATAAAATTCAAATTAATTCAAATTAACAAAATATAGAGAAATTAAGCACTCAAAAAGTTACGTACGTGAGCAAAATTAATTACATACTTGAAAGAACCTAAACAAGGTTAATTATATATAATTCATATATATATATATATATATATATATATATATATATATATATATATATATATATATTGACCGAGGCATATTATAAGAGTTTGTAATAATTGAGAACAAATATATTTCGATTCACTGGATTGGATGCAACTTTTTTTACAGAAAAAGAAAAACTATATATATTAACTGAGTGTAAAATATAAAAGCATGGTAGAATGCTTTTTCAAAGAAAATTTTAAAACGTTGTCGTTGTTGTTCAATTGTTTTTACTTGTGAAGACATCATGGAATGCTTCCAAGTTGCGGTATGTGTGTCACATGTAACCACGGGCAGAGAAAAAAACAGGTAGAGGTTAAGAAACATGTCTCCAATGAAAAATTTAATAACTTATGTTTTTGTCAAACCCTAAGAATAGCCAAACTGAGTCACCTTGCA